AACTCCCGGTCTTTATAGCGAGGCTGTGTTTCAGGTCAGTAACTTTTTTTTTTTTTTAAAATTTTTACCGTGGCCGAGCGATTAGTGAAAATGGTTTCGATCTGTCGATCGACACACATCTATATCAGCTTGTTGAATCTCTTTGATTATGATATGGACCAGGCTTGTGATGATCTGTTGATATCGTGGTGCATGCAATTCAATTTGTTGTTTTTCATGTGTGTATAATATATATATATATGTTGGCCTTGGAGGAATTTTCTGGAAGGGTTATGTGTATGTAGTTTGGTCGGAGTCCATTAATATATGCAACAAACTAGCTAGTCGGTTGGTTGGTGGATAGAATTCAATTAAATTGGTTTTCAATATTGATAACTATGCACATATAATTACGTACCCCAAATCCATATTGATCTTGACCACATATATATGTATATAATATTGTTGGAACTTTTTATTAGTAATTATAAAACTCTAACGACTAGTCTGGATGATGGTGGATTGAAAAGGTTGGGTTTGGATTTAAATTTGTACAAATGTAAAATTTAGACAGAAAAAAAAAGCGCACATTTCAATAATCCAAACATAAATATTTGAGCTAAATAATCCACCGTGTAAGTTGGACCGTGATCACGCAACCAAATCTCTTGTCCAAAGTCCAAACCACTCTAAGTAAGAAAATAAACCAAACCATAAGCTTGGCTTGGCTTGGCTTGGCTTGGCTTATTTGATAGTTATTTCATTTTAACTGGACTGGGCCACAATGCCAAAAGGGCCCATAATTGGATAAACTCATTTGAACCAATCCAGCCGGGTCTCAGTCTAGGGCCTAGCCTAAGCAAAGAAAACAAATCGAAACCAGAAAAGGCCCAGAATTCACGGCCCAATAGCACGCTGCTCCTTGATCTTTTTTAGCGACGAGATCTATAGCCACCGTATTTAATAAACAACAACTTCATTATACGTACAGGGGCTGGACTTTGTGATCTCGGAAGCAAAAAAGCGTGGCATTCGGTTGATCCTCACACTAACCAACAACTACAAAGACTTTGGCGGAAGACAGCAATATGTTGCATGGGCACGAACCCTGGGCGTCCCGGGGGTGGGCGGTGATGACGATTTCTATACTCACCCTGTCTTAAAATGGTACTACAAGAACCATATCGCGGTAAGCAACGTGCTCCAAACTTCCATCACCACATAAGTGTACGTAATTGATGTTTGATGGTTCAATTTCATATCGTCGTCGTCGTCGTCTCGTGTAGAGGGTGTTGACGAGGATCAACACGATCACCGGAACAGCTTATAAGGACGACCCCACGATCATGGCGTGGGAGCTGATCAACGAGCCGCGCTGCGAGATTGATTCCTCCGGCGATACAATCACGGTAATTAATCAAGCACAATATTCTTCTGTGACCAAATTTTTTGTTTTGGTCTGAAATGTAGTATCATTGATCGGTCGTCCATAAAATACAATTAGTGACCATCTATCTCAATTAATTAATTAATTAAGCAATAAATGATTGATGTGGCAGGGGTGGGTTCAGGAGATGGGGTCGTACCTGAAACTAATCGACAACAAGCACTTGCTGGCCGTAGGAATGGAAGGCTTCTATGGAGATTCCACTCCTGACAGGAAGCAATTCAACCCTGGCTACCAAGTTGGTACGGATTTCATCACCAGCAACCTCCTCGAATCCATCGATTTCGCCACCATTCATGCCTACCCTGATGCATGGTGAGTGTCGTGTCGTGTCGTATAACATGCATGAACATAACAGGCAAATCTCATCCTGGCTGTTCACGAACAAACAACTTAATTCCAATCATTAATTAATTCGAATTGTTAGAATAAAAATGTTTCTTTTTCTGATGCATATATATATATATATATATAAATACATGTGTGCGTGTAGGCTGGCAGGGCAGAGTAGGTACGAGCAAATGACATTCTTACAGAAGTGGATGAGCAGCCACCTGACCGACTCGCGGACGATACTGAGAAAGCCACTGGTGTTTGCCGAGTTCGGCCTCTCCAACAAGGCCACCGGCTACGCCAACCTCGGCAGGGACTTGTTCTTGAACGCTGTCTATGGCACCATATTCGGCTCCGCCAGGTACGGCGGCACCATCGGCGGCGGGTTGGTGTGGCAGCTGTTGGCCGACGGGATGGACTCTTACAACGACGGCTACGAGATTGTTCTGTCGCAGTGTCCATCTACCAGCTTCCTCATTGGGTTACAGTCTAGGAGGATGTCTGCTCTTCAACATGTGTTGGCCGGAGCTTAGGGGCTACAGTATAAATAAACTATATATTCGATCGGTTTAATAATTAATTAACCGTAGAGCATGAGTAATTGTAGGATAAACTTCAAGCTAAGGTAGATTGATTTAGTGTAGAAATTATATTGACTAATAATTAAGTGTACGTTAAGTCCCATGTCTAGCATGTTATTCAACCAACCATGCTAATGTGTTACGTTACACAATGTAGACCACATATCATATATATTGTGTCATTTCTTTCGTTGATATAACACACTCCGAATTAGATCACATTAGGTATTTGTTTATGCCTGGAATGTACCGGGCGGTTTGCGAGGCTTCACAGTCTTCGTGCGGTCTTGGGAGGTGAGAAGCGACCTTCGAATTCCTGCAACAAAGGTCCTCAGGGGAGCCCTGGGACCTCCTCCGATGCCTAAGTTAGTGAGAGAAGTGGATATAGTGAATAAGAGAGAGAATGGAGTAGATCGAAGTTACCCCAAATGTGTCCCATGAGTGGGTATTTATACTAGAGGATGTCGGAGTGAGGATAATTAATGCCTTGTCGGGCGTCCAAGGTCGCATAAGGACCCGTTCTCAGGAGGCTGTCAGGATCGTACCTTTGTCAGCCTCCGTACTGAGGTGTCAGAGAGACGTTAGGCCCAGTGTCGGGCGGTTTCTCAGAGTTCCGTTGGGGACGTGTCAGGCGGTTCTTTCGGGAAGACCGCCTTCGAACCTTTTATTAGTGTGCCTTGGGCCTATTGGGGCCGGGCTCGATTGTTTCGCTGGGCTTTTTGTAGGTCATGGGCCTGTCGGCCCAAGAGACTCCATGGTTGGCCCAACATTTGCCCCTTAGTCGTGATGATCGTTAGGTTTTCGCGGCTAACTGTTTTTTGTCGCCGTGGAGCGGTCTTGGGTCGCTCGGCCTATGATTATCTGCTTGCCCCTGGCCGCGGAGGCGTGGCGTTCGAACGCCTAAGGGGCGGCTTTACCGACTTGTTTGTATGATGGGCGGTCTATAACCGCACTCGGTTGTCCCACGTGGTGGCATCGATTTTCGCGCTCTGACAAGGTCAGACTTTTGCCCCTTGAGAGTTTGCTTTAAATGGAGAGAGGCGCACTGTTTCCGCCATTGTGTTTCTTCATTTGGGGAAAACTCTCCGTCTTCTTCCTTCTTGGGTCGTCTGCAACTTTCTGCGGAGCTCTGAGCTTCGCCGTCGTCGCCCCTCTTTAAAAGGCCGAGTGTTTGTACTTTCGAGGTGAGTTTCGGAGCTTCTTTCTCCTTTGTTTCTCGCGTCTTTGTTTGCCTTTGACTTGTGTGCTTTTTCTTTTGGGTTTATTCTGGCTCGGGACGTCGGCCTTTCCCCCTTCCTCGTCGGCGCTAGATGTCGAGCGGAGGCCTGGCTTCGTCGGCCGGGGTAGGCGCGCCTCTAGCTGCCGCCACGGAGGTTGTGTCCGATGCGCCCACTGCCCCCGAGGTCTGCATGGGGAAGCCGCCGTCGATCTTCATTGCTCCGCCGCTTTCCCCTGCCACCGGGAAGAAGTCAGTGGGCACCTCTGGCGGTTCCGCGACCGCTGCGCAAGGTATGGCTCGTTCTGCCCCTGCCCAACACGCCTCTGATTGCGTGTGGGATTTGTCTGGACTTGAATTGTACTTTGGGGGTGGTTCTGAATTGGACGATTGTCTGATCGAGGACGCTTTAAGTTTAGATTTTTCTTTTGCTAACATCCGACCTGTACCAGTTGGGGTTGTGGCCACTTCGTCCGCGGTTGGGGACAATCTGGGTGAGTTTGGGGGTTTAGACTTAGATAGTGATACGCTGAATGTGGATGATGCGGTTGGTAGTAGTGAAGAGCGTTCGGAGGCGCTGGCGAGTACCTCGTCGTCTGTGGAAGCAGTTGACTCTGAGGACGAGGGATCGCCTTTGGTGGCCATTGCGGATTCTACGTATACCGTTCTTCATCACGAGGGAATGTGGGACGGGGCCGCGGTTCCCACCGGCGTGTTTTCTCATGGACCTCCGCACGAGGCGACCTTGAGGCCGGGTCAGGTGCTTCACCGTTTGAACGCATTGAGTTTACCTACGGATTGGCAGTATGCGGCTCCTACGGAGACAAGTAGATCTGGGTCATGCCCCGAGGGTTGGATCCCTATTCACGTGGAGCACGTTAAGTTGGGATTGCGGTTCCCCTTAGACCCTATTCTTACTAAGACTTTGCACCTCCTTCAGTGTACTCTTGGGCGCTTGTCCCCTTCTGTTATTTTTCAGTCGGTCATGTATCGGTATGCGTGTAAACGCCTTGGGGAGACCCCTTCCTTTGATGCATTCCGACTGATTTATAACATTAGGGATTCGACCAACTGTTGGTCTATCGGTCGGCGTAAGGACGGCGTGGGGTTTGTGACGGGGTCGCCGAAGCTTGATTCTCCATGGTACAAGGAGTTTTTCTTCGCACGTCCCTCATGGAAGTGGTACCATGGCGATACTGCGCCTTTGACGGGGTACGTGGTGGGATCGAAGGACGACTGGTGTGTTTCGACCCAGTTTCCACAGTCAGTGAGAGATCACGTAGACCGCCTTGTAGAAGGGTTTCAGCTGCGAGTCTTTCCTAGCGGTCCCGAGAGTGCATACCAGCACGTTCGCAAATTCTATGGTTAGTGCTGCGTTTTTCTGCTTGAATATGTCCCTCTTCTCATGTATGTTTACTTATGCTTTCTTTTGTCAGGTTTGAGAGCTCTGGCGGATGCGGTTCGTCCGAAGAGGCGAAGGGTAGTGGTGAAGACCGGAGTCGGCCGAGGTGGAAGCTCGTCCGTGGCGGTCGGAGATATTGGCGTCTCTGTTGCTCAACCGCCGCCGGTGCAGCCTATGGCGGCTCCAGCTGATGTGGCCGGGAGGAGAGGCTCCAAGAGGGTGGCTGAGAAGACCGCTCTCGGTCAAGCTAGCCAAAGAGCGAAGGCAAGTTCTCCGCCTCGGAAGGCGGCTGGTCGGGGAAAGGGCGTGAAGCGCGGGGAGGAACAGAGTTCTATAGAGGTGTCGACTCAGGCGGCCACGGATGGGGAGGCGGCTGAGTTTGCTTTGCACACTATTAGTGATCATCTCGTTATGCCTTCCGAGTACACCCCTTCAGCTTTGGACAGTCACAGGAGACTTGCAGAGACCGCTTCGCGGTTCTTCTTTTCGGTAAGTGGTAATTCGTTGTGGATGTTTCGTTACGCAATCTGTTGTTTGCTGGCTAATCATGTGTATGCCGTTGACAGGCTCAGATTGGGTTCTCGCAGGTCATTCTGTTGAATGACCGCCTGTCCCGGACTGTGGAGGACAATGCCGTTGAGATAGCGAAACTGAAGAAAAGCGCCGATGAAGGGTGGGAGACTATGATGGGTAAGTTGAGACCGCAGGTAAAGCGTGAGTTTGAGGAGCGACTGGCCAAGAAGGAGGAGGAGTTGCTGGCCGAGAAGGGGGCGGTCAAGGCTGTCGGTGAAGAGAGGGACCGCTTCCGCGAGAAGGCCCTAAAGTCTGCGGAGCTGGAGAAGACCCTGCTGGAAGAACAGGAGGCGCTGCGAACAGAACTGGCCGCCTTGAAGATTGAGAAGGCGACTTGGGAAGATAACCGCGAGGCGGAGCTGGCCGCCGCCCGGGCTGAGGCGGGACCCGCCTACTTGAAGTCAGATGAGTTCGTGTTGCTTGACAACGAGAAGTACAAGTCCATGGTGGGTAATGCGGTGGCTGCCATCAGGCACTGGTTCCGTCGTGAGCAGCCTGACGCGGTTTGGAACACGGATCAGATTTGGGACGCCGTTGGTGCGTGGACCGATTCCGATGTCAACTCGGAAAAAGACGAAGGAGAAGAAGATGAGGAGACCGCCCCTGAGGGTGGCGCATCTCCTCAAGTTTAAGATGCCTTGTGTATGTTTCTCAGTTTGCTTTGTGACATTTGCTACTCGAGGACCGCTGGATGTCCTCTATTTTGTGCACGTTTTGCCCCTTAATCGTGGTGATGGGGTTGTATGCTACTTCGAATTTGGCATTGACGTGCCTTGTGAACTTGTAACGTTCTCTTTTGCACACTTGAAGCGTTGAACCGCCACCGTTTGGTGCCGCGGGTTATCTCCGACTTTTGGATGTTTCGCTCGCATACTTAGCGACTTCAGTGTTTAGTAGCCTATCTTTTCGCGAGCGTGATTGTGCTAGTGTTAATGGGGAGAATTTTGCATAGGGCGGGTCAGACCGCTGGGATTCTTGGACGCCTCTGAGGGTGGTTGGTCGTTGGAGTGACCTTTTTGAGCGTGTTGGAAACGAACGCCTTGTTAGTAACGTTGTGCCGAAAACATGAAACATGTGAATGAAGGCAACGTGTTTGGGCTTAAACGTTCTTGCGAACTTGTTGTATGAGAGGGAAGCGTGCTGGGACTATATCATGGCCAGCTGCATGTGATAAGCTGTTGGGCCGCGAGATGGGCACGAGCTTGTGTGCATGTTAAGCGTGAGTTGTTGGCTGAATATTAGGCGTTAGCTGTGTTCTAGGGAGGGCGAATGGAGTTTCACCCGTAGCGGTTTTATACACCGCATGCTGCGTCCATCGGATGTGCGAGAGTTCGCTTGTGCTTGCCCCTTGGGCGTCTCTCAGGCGTTTTTTCAGCCTTTGGAGGGTTAGCTTGTTTGAAGCTCCATCTGGACCGTTCGTCTGCAGGTATGCCGCGGAGACTGCCGTTCCTGCGATGCGGTTTCTTGGCGCGGAAATTTTCGAACGATCGACAGTTGAATTGGGTGGTGGAGAGTGTCATTTGCTTGAACGGTCGTTTGGCACATTTCGCGTTATTCTTTTAAACCTTTCGAAAGGTGTTTCTCCTTTGAGCCTGTCGTGAGGCGTGAGAGCCTGGCGGAAGACATTTTTCCTTTAGGCCTGTCAGAATGCGTTTCTCTTCAAGCCTACCCGGAGGCGTGTGGGCTTGTCGGCACTAGAAGGTGGAACCTTCCCGTGGCGGGAGTGTCGCTCGTCGACTTTGACATTTTCGTGAAGAGAGTTCTCGATGGGAGCGCCTTCGCGAGGCGGGATATCCTCATAGTCTTTTGGCTTCTAAGAAGCGTGTGAGTCATCTGCTTCTTGGGCGGACATGAGATACTTCAGACTGTGTCAGAGTAGTACTTTCTCAGGCGCCTGTCATTCCGTGTTTTTGGAGACTGGGACGCCTTCCATGGTTGCATTACGCTTGTCGCGGTTTTACCTTTCATGTTTGAGCACGGAGGGAGGGTAAGTTTACTTCGGCTGGGGCGACCGTTTTGGTGTCGTATGTCAGAGCGAAGGGGGTATCTCCCGTGGCCGTCTTGTAGGTCGTGTGATGCGACCATAGGACGTGTAGGAGCTCAGTCATCCTTTCCCCTTAAGCGTCCCGGAGACGCTTGTTTGAGGGTACATCACTGATGCTTTGCTGTCCCTGGCGTGGTTTGGCGCGCAAGGATTATTCTGTTATCCTTTCAAGCTTCTCAGGAGGTGCCTCCTCTTTGAGCTTGTTGGGAGTTATGTGAGCCTGTTGGAAGGCGTCTTCCTTAGGTCCTGTCGAGAGGCGTTTCTCCTCCAGCCTATTAGGAGGTGTTTTGATGATGACGATATGCTTGTGAAAAGCAAGATTGGGCTTTCGTCTTAGTGGAAGATGCATCCCCATGAGATGAGCATCTCATGGAGGCGAAATATACTCGATGAGAGTGTCGTTTGTTAGGTGAAACATTCCCCGAAGGGCGCGTCGCTGGGAGGCGATTTTCGGGCTTTGCCCGGAGGTGGAAGGCACGAATCGTGCCTAGAGGGAGGGTCGCTCATAGGCGAAATCATCGCTCAAAGGGAGCATCGCTCGGGGGCGGTTTTTGGGCCTTGCCCCGAAGGCGGAAGAGGCGAGTTTCGGGCTTTGCCCGGAGGTGGAAGGCACGAATCGTGCCTAGAGGGAGGGTCGCTCATAGGCGGAAACCATTCTCCGAAAGGAGCATTGCCCGGAGGCGAATTTTGGACCGTGCCCAGGGGCTTGAAGCATAGCACTTGAGACATATTTTTGTACAAAATATTTACCTTTGTGATTTGTCTTAGGAAAAGTAAGAGTCAAATTCCGAGCGCTACAGATCATATGTACAAGACCTCACTGTAGCATACTGGTGAGCACCGTTCATCTTATCGAGTTAGGACTCGCATCCGAATCCTGGTATAGGGATGGAGGGGGTTATGCTGTACCCGCCCAATGGGCCTCTACGTGGGCGCCGTTGGCTAGGCGGACCGTGAGTGTATGCGAGACCACGTTCGCGGAGGAGGTTGCGATTCTGGACATAAATATTGGGTTGCACCTGGTATGAGGTGCGCCTAGTGGGACAGGCTTACTAAAGGCAAGTCTTATTTTCAGCCTACCGGGAGGCGCTTCTTTTTTCAGCCTGTCGGGAGGCCTGTCTTCTTTTAGCCTATCGGGAGGCGTTTCTTCCTTTCAGCCTACGAGAATGCGCTTCTTCCTGGTCTGTCGAGAGGCATTCTGTCTTTCAGCCTTCTGGGAGGCGTTTATCTCTTGACTTTGCGGGAAGCGCTTTGGGATCTTTGAACAATCAGAGAGCTTAGCCTAGAAGGCATGCGGTTCCACGTCTGATGTGGTCTTGGAAGACGTGGGTGATGACGCAGATGAGTATGATACACGCGACCAGACTTATCTTGTGTCGACGCACCGCCATGTGGGAGACGGGGGTCGGGTGGTGTCTTCGGATGCGTGTGCGCGGGCTTGCGTCTTAAGGCAGGCCGGACGATTTGCACGGTTGGCGGACTCGAGTTGAAGACTTGGAGTGTGGGCCGGACAGAGGTGGGCCCGTGTGATGCGGGACTGGATGCTTTACACCCTTGGTGGGCCTAATGTACAGAGCGTGATGGGCCGCATTGGAATCTTGGATGCGGTGCGTTGGCGATGCCAGGTCAGACGCACACATGAGATTTGATGCGAGGCGGCCCAAGTCTTCAGTGATAACGTTGAGTGGGCTCGGAGGTGCCATAGGCCGAGTGGATGTTCGGGCGGCCCAGTTGGAGGGCTAGGGGTGTGTACGTGGTTGTAGTCTTCTAGTCGAGGGCGCTTCCTGCAAATGGCTTCAAATGTCGAATGTTGCCAATAGCAAACACAAAGCGGTTTTGTAGTGTAACGACATGATCGAACTTTCGTTTCAAGTGGAAACGTTCTCGCGATGATAATATCGCACGGAGGGGGAACGTAGCATGGTGGTGATGATCATCTTGTGCTTGGCTGGATGAGGGTTTGAGGCTTTGCGGAGGCGGTCCTCCTTTATTTTTGCAATGCGACAATTGAGAGCTTAATGGGTCGTGTATGGCGTGTTGCCAAGCTTCGCTCGTTGTGGGCCATGGTTGGTTGTGGACCGGGATGCGGCCCATTATATGCTTGGACTACCCACTGGGATTGAGGCTGGAGCTCGACGCGAGGTTGCAGCTTGGACTTGGCAGACGGGTCTTGTGATCGGACTGGATGCGGATCGGGCCCGCACGGAGGTCTTGGCTCAGATGGTCTTGAAAGCTGAACGCTTTGTAGGTGACGGATTTGAGAGGTAGGGCGCCGTGAGACATAATGCGGGCTTAGCAGCTTTGGGAAGGCGCGCGGAATGGAATGGGCTTTGGAGGCAGCCTTTTGCACAAGTTCGAGGCGTGAAGATGTCACTTCTGCTGGGAGGCGGTATCGTGTTAGCTATACTGATGGCGCGCCTACTGGGAGGCGGTTTCCGGCTTTTGCGTGGAGGGATAGCATGCGTGAAATATGTCATAGCACGGGATGTAGATCATATGATGCGGTTTTACATCTGCGAAGGGTGTGAGTGACAAACATAGGCATAACATGCGTGAAATATGTCATAGCATGGGGCGTAGTGAGAAACATCATTGTGTGCTATTGGGAGCGGTCTGCATGGCATAGTATTTGAATATATCTTAGAAGGAAGTACTTAGCTTGAGAATAAGCGGTAGAAGATAACTGTGAAGCGGTTTAAGTAGGACGGGTCGGTCTCGTGGCAGACTGGTAATTGCCCCTGCCTATGGGAGTTGGGTTAGGTGTTTGAGTATGGTGCACGGGTTTCTCCTCTTCTTTTCGTAAGTAGATGCCTCCAGTCTTCTAGTGGCGTGATGGGCTTGCTTATTGGACTTTCGGACGAAGGGGTCCGCGTGCGAGACGGATCGCGTTGATGAGGGAGGCGACCCATCGACGAGGGATAGGATCGCCTTGGGGGATCGGATGTGGAGCGAGGCGGTCCCGGTCTTGCATCCGCTCGGAGGTGGAGCGAGGTGGTCCCGGCTTTGGGCTCCTGGCATGTTGGAGACGAGACGGCAGTGAGGCCGTGTTCGGTTCCTGCGCTGGATCTTGGAACAAATAGCTAAAAGGCGGCCGCCCCTATTGACATGAGAAGATGTTGTCGCCGGCCAGTTGGCGTTCTTGTATCCTAATTATTGCGGGTTCGAATCTTGGCCAAGGAATTCCTTATTTTTTATTTCGTTGAGAACGAAGTC